GAAATGTAAACTGGGACTTTATGTACAGCGAATCAGCACTTAGCTTTCATCATGTTTACAAGGTGACCAATGAAATACCGTTTGACATTCAATGCTTGGGTTCTCGAAGCAAATAAGGGACGTTCAAGTGGCGTTCAAGTTGGTAAACAAACTACGTCATTTTGGCGCATGCGCAGTTTCTGGTTGACATGTATATATATAAAGTTGTTCAGCCGAATTAGTTCGTACTCGCATAACTAGAGAACTCCGCAGCCTAGAGGAAAACTAAATGTATTTTCAGAATAAGCACGTCTGGAAGGTGTTTAAATAAAAATTTTAATTTTAAATAGTAAAAAAGTTAAAATGGATAAAAATTCTATTCATCAATAGATGGCGGTGCGTTCAGATTAACATCACGCACGTGTGAATTCATGGTTTATACCACTGATCTCTATTATACTAACTAGTTAGTATAAACTAGACTACTAACTAGTTAGTATAATAGAGATCAGTGGTGTATACCCTTAACGGCGCAGTGGCCTAATCGCTAGAACATCCGTACCTACCTCTTTAGTATGTATTATTTTTAATTTATTAATTTATTAAATTTATTAATTAATTTATTAAGTTAGTATAATAGAGATCAGTGGTTCTGACGCACTTGCGGGCATCTAATTATGCCTATTGCTAGAGGTGAGGCGCGTGAATGAATAAAACATGAATGTGGGATTAGCGACTACAAAGGATTGCTTCCCAAACGGCAACCTTTATATAGTTAGTATCAAGAGTGCATAATAGAGATCTATTATGGACTCTTGTTAGTATGTTATCCTTAATAAATACCCGGCCCGTTGTCACGATTTCCATCATTCCAGCATCACGCGGCTAGAATGAATCAAGATAACGTACATCGACAGACCTATACTATCGCGTTGTATTAAAATATCATCAGATGTAATGCTTACCCTGTATGACAAACGTAGCGAAAACTTATATTAGTAAATACTCGATGTGTACACAATAATGTTATAGCGTGAGACTGACAGCAGTTACTAAAGCATTTATAAATCTAATATCATGGAGTTTATTTATTTATGTAGTTTACGTCTAATATAGTCATTCGCGAAATTGGTCATGTGAATTGGTTCTTATATCGTTTATTTAATGGTGCGGAATGGTCCACACCTGTTGATATCGCACGGAAATCGCATCAATATATCGATCGTTTGTTTGCGTTACTTTACAGATTACTTTCCCCTACGAAAAACTTTAAGGGGATGTGTAAAATTGTGCAATATTGCAATATAAGAATTACTTAACTTAAAGTAGGCCTAGTACATGATAAAAATGCTGATACTATAATTAGGAATGGGAAATTAATTATTAATAAGTAAAAATAGTGATTAAGTGTCGAATGGTACGTAGGTGTGTGCGGTACGCATGTCATTCGTGCTTATTGCGGCCACGTAAAGAACATTTCTATCGCTCATCACACACGACAGGGAACGATGTTCGGCTTCTGGTTTGACGAAACCGACTCGTGGTGGGTCGGTAGAAACAACATCTCACAGCTGTACTGGGGAGGAGCCGCACCAGGAAGTCGGGCATGCGGCTGCCACCCGCACTGCGAGCCTACCTCGCGCAACACCACGTGCAACTGCGACGCCAACGACGCCATGCGGTGGTTGTACGACGACGGAGTGCTTCTGAACAAAGACAGCCTGCCCGTGACGCAGCTGCGATTCGGCGACACGGGGCAGACGAACGAGGAGGGATATCACACGCTTGGGGAGCTTAGATGTCAGACCCTGACACACCAGGGTGCGCAAGTCTTTTACCGGTTGTCTGATTCGATTCTCTGGTGCCATAATGTCGTTAGTAGAACGTGTATGTAAGAAGGCGTTTTGATCATGCGGGGACCATGTCAGTTTAGTACTATTAATAACTAAGGGATTCATTCGTATTGTATGATGATAACCTTCGTTTTATAATACAATTTTAAGAGTTTTAACAAGATTCTAGTGGGATAATGACAATGATTTTCTGATCACGCGTTAAGAGTTAGTTTTATTTATATTTTCGTGTCATGCTTACAATTCGTTAGCCCCATATTCAACATAACGGTGCATATTATTAGATAACATTGGTGATTACGGAACTGATAATAATAAACGAATAAATTGGTGAGCAAATTCAATTCCCTTTCGTGAATCGGATTCATGCATTTGCTGCGTATTCACGCTTGCTACGATTGCTATTCTCACATGATTTCAGAGGTGGCAATGGGTGGCACTCACGTCGCGCCGGCAACCTTCACTTCTCCCTGGTTTCCACTAAGATATCCGTCGCCGTGGAGCAAGTACACCTGGTCGATTTACATACCGCGGGGCATGATAGTAGAATTGATTTTCCCCGTCTACAATATGGTATACTGGGGTTCCTACGCAGGACTGCGTGGTTGTGATAACGTTGTTACGCTCGTCTATGTATCCGTCGAGCGTCCAAACGTCACACACTTCATGGCCAAGAGAGCGGTCAACCCACCGTACTTTGTATCGGACGGATCAGAAGTTAGGATGAACGTCACTATGACAACGTGCGCGTTGCCTAGCGAACCGAAGCAGAATGGATTCGAGGCGGTGCTGCGGGAAATCGGTAAGCGTCTTAAGAAGTCGCGATTAGAATGCGGGTCTCGTTAATGCAGCTAATGTAAATGGAAATTACGCGAGGGGTCACCAAAACTATGCTTATATATCACTCGTTTCTCATTCATCGTCGTTTTCTCAAGGAATATCGCAAGGAAATTAATTGTGTTTAATTCCCCTGCACTAAAATAGTAGTCCTGATGAGCAACTTTAGTTTTCACTTTGGCAATTATCTATTGCTCTATGGATGTGCAGCATTTATCATATTACAGCATTTTTGCAAAGAACCATTTGTTCTAAATCCTTTCCTTACAGAATGCCCGGCATGTACATTAAATCCGCATCCGACGCAAGTGGTGAAGTGCAAGACCAGATGTGGTACCATCGTCTCCTATAAGTATCCTTACCCGGAGCACGTAGAGATCACGACCATCTACAACCAGTCGTTTTCGATAAAGGTTTCCGAGGGTAAAGCGATCACGCTGACGTTCAACGACTTCGACGTGAAAAGCTCCAGCGAAAACATTTGCGCAATCTCTGAAGGCGTTCTCTATATCTACGAGGCAAAATATGCCGACGCGGACAAACTGATTGGAGTCTTCTGCAACTACAACAAACCGGGAGTGATTCGATCGACAGGAAATCACCTCTACCTCTACTACTCTGTGAAGCTGAAGCTGGTAGGAACGGGTCAAGGCTTTCACCTGACGTACCACGAAGTGGAAAAGTCGGATGTCAATATAGATGGTGGGTGTGGCTATTTCATTTGTTATACGATATTTGTGTTACGCTTGTATAAGGTGAGGGGTGTGTTCGGATGAGTGACGACCCATATATAGCTTCGCTGGTTTTATGCCCACATTACTGTAAACGCGGGAATGCTATATATAGTAGATTAATTTTCATCAATAAGTGTTAAAATACTGTCTGGATATTCCATTAGCTGATCGCGCGACATGACATGGTTGAAGCAACTGGTGACGGGTTACCTTTTTGATCTAACTTGACACTTCTGCGAATCACACTAGCACATGGTCACGTGTCATTGATGCGTAATGTATTAGAGGCTCAGCGGCAGTGACGTCAGCAAATCCGGCCTGACTAGCTGTCAGTAAATGTGTGAAGCACGTCTGAATGACGCGTATTCGTTATGATCATTTGCATATTTTGTCATCCCTGGCAACCTAAACAACACCCGGATAGCTCAACCCGCCCTCACTCGTCACAATATACGTGCGCGTGCGCGCGTGCGTGCACTCGTACGTACGTGCGCGCGTGTAAGTGTGCTTGCCGGTATGCGCGCGTGTGTGTTTACTTATTTGTTAACGCACGCGTGCATGTATATACGCCATACAGCTTTTCTTCCATTTCTAGATGGATTCACGGAGAATGTGGCTAGGGGAAAACCAGCAAAGCAGAGTAGTACTATCGACTCGCAAACGGCAGATCTAGCTGTGAACGGCAAATCATTTGCCCTGTATGGCGACATGACGTGCACGAACACGCGCATGGAGTCGGAACCATGGTGGCGAGTCGACCTGCAACAGTCCCACCTCATATATGGCGTAGAAATAGAAACTCCCTGGACAGATAAGGTATATAATAATAATGATGATAATAATAATAATAATAATAATAATTATGGTGGCGAGTCGACCTGCAACAGTCCCACCTCATATATGGCGTAGAAATAGAAACTCCGTGGACAGATAAGGTATATAATAATAATGATGATATTAATAGATCTATTATTATTCACTCGTTGTGGGATGTTATATGGGAGCCACAGGCGGTTACAGTTACATGCTAAGCTACAAGGTAGATATCTATGCTGGAGTTAATTGTCTCCCACTCAAATAGACCAGGTGTTTCTACAGTACTAGTAGTTGAAATGTAGGCACATATCATTTACATATAAATCTATAAATCTCTTCCTCTCCCCACTCTCTTTTTCCTCACCACACTCTCTCTCCTCCCTCTCTCTCTCTCCCTCCATCCTTCCTTCATCTCTCCCTCTCTCCTCTCTCTCTCTCTCTCCTCCCTCTCTC